GGGGGGACCAAGTTTTTTCTATAAATTCTCTCATTTTTTCATAAAAAATCACTCAATTTCTCAATCCATCTCTCAATCCTCTCATTCTCTCATTCTCTCAATTTATCAATCTCTCAATCTTATTATCTCTATTTAATTTTTATATATTTAATATTCATATAATAATATAAAAATTTTATACATTAAAATTTTGAAATTTTCAAAATTTTAATATATAAAATTTTGAAATTTTTTCAAATTTTTCAAAATTTTAAATATTATTAATTTTTAAATATATTCTTTAATATTTAAATAATTTAAATATATTATTTATTTTTTGAAATTTTCGAAATTTTAATATATAAAATTTCAAAATTTTTTTAATTTTTGCAAAAGTAATATAATATTTTAATATCAAAAAAATATATATTAAAATGTCGAGGGAGTCCGGTAGACGGTCCGTGGATATGGGCGACGTCAACCGAAGATTGAGTAAAGGCAAAGCTAAAGCCACCTCCGACGGTTCGACCTCACGCGGACACGGTTCTCAAGAAAGACACTCTGTCTCTTCGTTTCCTACTGTCCCAGATCATGTTAGAATAAAGGCCCAACGCTAGAGGGGGGGGTGAATAGCGTTTAAAACAAAATCGCACGAAATTAAAACGAGAGCGTTGAAGTAAAGAGCGTAAGGAAGTAACACACCAGATTTTATCCTGGTTCACCACAACGTGTGGCTAATCCAGCCCCCCGAGAGACTCTCTCGAGCTACACTAACTCTGTTAAGCTTAAGGGTGCTTAACAAACCGATACAACTTGAGAACCCGAGTCACACGAGCCTCAACACCTTTGCTCGGAGATACCGCACTCCAAGACTTATCACGAAGGAACAAGAAACTTCCTTCGAGTTTACAACAAGGGAACAACCTCCCTTAAAGTGTATAAAAACACTTAAACACTCAGGAATAAAACTCTCACAAGAGTAGATATGAGTGAACTAGTAACGCTCAAGAACACGACAATTTCTTCAAGAATTGGCTCTCAAATAGCTAAGAAAAATAGGAATGCTTATGCAATGAATGAGTATTGAAATGTTGAAGAATTGTGTATTAAAAGAGAGGATTTGGGTGCCATTTTATAGCCCAAAATGGGATAAACCCGTTGCTAGAATTTCCAACAGGATGAAGACAAATTTTTCAGGGACACAGGCTGATAGTCGATTGTCAAACCATGATAATCGATTATCCAAAGATTCCCTGTCCAAAAAATTAAAATTCTATCCGTTGGAGGACAACGGTAACCCAGATAATCGATTGTCAACAAGTGATAATCGATTATTGGTCCTCTCTGAAGATTCTGGGTTTTGGCTGCAAAGGCTGATAATCGATTATTGCAAAGCTGATAATCGATTATTGTGTGCTTCAGAACTTGGAAGTTCAAAGCTGCAGTGGCTGATAGTCGATTGTCACTAAGGTGATAATCGATTATCACCCAGCTAAAGTCTAGCCAGCTGAAAACCCGTTTTGAAAAACCGAGGTCCAAAAACGAAGTGTTCCCAAAAGTAAAAACCAAGTATGAAAAACATTGTATATGGTATAAAATAGTGAAAACAAGACTTGTTTGGTAAAAACCAAGTCCTCAAGGTCGTAAATCACGTGCGTACGGTTTTGACCGTTTTTCACGTGTTAGACCGATTGACCAAGATACAAAAGTGGTTTTTATAAAATAATTATTTGGGAACCTTTAAAATATGCTCAGAGATAAAAACAAGGTTTAAAATATTGAAAACCACAGAGTTGGTTTGAGCGCCAAAAACCGAACGCCGAAAACCGAACGACGAAAGCCGAACGCCGACTTAGGTGGTTTTGGTTCTGAGCAAGGACCAAGGATTTTTAAAAATAAAAGAAGTCATCAAAAAAGTTTGTTTTGATGCACAAAAAAATGTTTTATGGTTTGTAAAAATTGTTTTGACTTTTTGAGAACCGAGACTTGAATAAATTTTCGGTTTTGATCACAAAAGACCGACGCGACTAAGTCTTCAATTCTTGATCTTATCCTTGAGTCTTTTAGGTCTTGTTCCAAGCCATTCTTCACGCCTTGAGTTATTCAACGAAACTCTTCATATCCACGGCGGTTTGGCAATTATCAAAACCTGTCAGAAATCAACACGACTTTAGTTTAACGTACAAAGTGTGTTCCAACAATTTCCCCCTTTTTGATAATGGCAAACAAGACGGGGATATGCATAGGGTTTTGATCTTTTTGAAACAAAATTCCCCCTTAATAAAATCCCCCCTGAAAATGTGCATAGCCCTTATCTTCCCCCTTTTGACATTAACAAAAAGATTGTTAACAACAAAAATCATAAATATTTTTATTAATTAATTAAGGGAAATAGCGGAGTACATAACGAAAGCATATTAAAAGATGATAAAATAAGGAAGAGAAGAAAGTAGAGCTAGAGCTCTAGAAATCCGGGGAGAGATCATTGAGAAGTTGTTCTTCGTCAATGTCTTCTTCTTCATCTTCATCACCATCGCCATCGCCATCATCATCTTCTTCTTCTTCTTCTTCTTCTTCTTCATTGTCCACCTCGTCTTCTCTTCCAACGTTTTGAGTCCCACTTTGTTCACCTCCGAAATTCGGTGGAGGAACGTAAGGGACCATTTGAGCGTACGGGTAATTGACAAAGTCAAAATACCCGTGAAGTTCACGGCTCAAAGTATTGACGTTGTGCGCCGTTTTGGAGACGTTGGTGTCAATCCGAGAGAGAGTGGCGGTTAAGGCTGCCATTTGCTCGGCGAGAGAAGGATTGGTCGACGTGGTGGCGGCTGAGGCAGTGGCTCTCGGTTGTCGGCGTGGAGGAGGCTGTCGAAACGGAGTCTCGTCGGTGCCCGAGTGGAAAGAAGATTCATCAATCTCCCAATGCTTTGTCCCCTTTATCTTTGGCCCAACATCGGTTTTGATGTTGTATTCTTCAAGAATTGCCATGACAAGGAGGGCGTAGGGGAGCGGCCGATTGTCGAAGGTGGTCGTGAACATGTGAGTCATCACAAATTTACACCAATTGAGATTGGCATTGTGAATCATCGCATGGATCGTCTTCGTGTCTTCTTGGGAGAGATTGGTGTGGTTGAACTTCCTGGGCTTGAGGATCCGTGTCAACACATAGAAGATGAAACGATACACGGGACTCATGGAAGAAATCGTAGGGCGCCGCTGTTGGGGAGTGGGTACGAAGTGTCGGATGCCCACTTCGTCCAAGAGAGCGGTCTCATTGAACCGCGCTCCTTCTCCGGCGTAGAGCCCGAGATCCTGTCCGTCCCGACGAAGCCCGGTGAGGATTTGAATGTTCTCTTCATTCAAATAAATGTCCACCCCGTTGACATTTGAAATCAACAATCCGTCCTCATCCTTTTTCAAGTTCGAATAGAAAGCTCGAACAAGAAAAGGTTGATAATTGACCTTCTTGATGTAGAGGAGATCGAGGAAGTTTCCACGTTCAAGGATAACCCGTGCCTCACGTGGAATGGAGTCATGAATGAAGGGGGCTTTGGAGAATCGGGGAGGGAGAATTTCCCGATGCTCAAACTTCTCCGAGAACCTTGTAGCCTCTTCGCGGTCGTTGAACGCCGAAAAACTGAACGACGAAAGCCGAACGCGGAAAGCCGAACGCCGATTTAGGTGGTTTTGGTTCTGAGCAAGGACCAAGGATTTTTAACAATAAAAGAAGTCATCAAAAAAGTTTGTTTTGATGCACAAAAAAATGTTTTATGGTTTGTAAAAATTGTTTTCACTTTTTGAGAACGAGACTTGAATAAATTGTCGGTTTTGATCACAAAAGACCGACGCGACTAAGTCTTCAATTCTTGATCTTGTCCTTGAGTCTTTTAGGTCTTGTTCCAAGCCATTCTTCACGCCTTGAGTTATTCAACGAAACTCTTCATATCCACAGCGGTTTGGCAATTATCAAAACCTGTCAGAAATCAACACGACTTTAGTTTAACGTACAAAGTGTGTTCCAACAGATCATTTAATCGGGGATGCTATGACGGATGAAGAATTCAACCAGATTTATTCTGGTAAAGGAGACGCGAATCTCCCCACTCTTGATAGTCTATTCGAGGATGTTGATGAAGCAGGACTGGATAATCTTGACGGGGACGATGAGCCTACACCGCAAAGCAACGACGTCGACGTGGAGGCAGGTGAGCCCGAGACCTCTCGAGGTCCGGACAAAGGTAAGAAAAAATATAAATCAGAATTATTTGTTTATCATTTTGACAAAGACACAAAAGATGGCATAATTTATGGAACTTGTAAACATTGCGGGACCGTCATAAATATGGGAGTTTCCGGCGGTTATGGCGGTCCGGAAAAACACCTAAGGTCGAGGCATCCCGTGGAGTACGCCAAATACGAGGCCAAAAAAAAGGGACGACAAGAAGTGCAAACCCAAATTTCTCGGTTTGCTAACAGAGGTAAGGGCGGCCTTTTTGCTTATAGCGACGAGCAAAATA